CCTCAAGAAGAAAACCCACCAAAGTTTTTCATTTTTCCTTCATCAAATCTTCACTAATCTTTCACCAAATCACACCAAAATTTCACCATACAGAGCTAATCACCCGGAGACTACACTAAGCTAAGAAAAAGGGGCTGTTTTCACGGTTTTCTTGGGCCAAGGAGGGACCAAAAATTTCTGCTTTGGATACCAAGTAAGGTTAGTAACGATTAACTACCGAAATTTTGATTTATGGAAGTAGTAATGCACATCTAAGCTCTTGTATGCATGTGGGTAGTCTTGTTTATGGTGGATTCTTGTTGTGTGGGCTCTATGAACTCCCACTTTTGATGGAAAGACTGATTTGATGATTGATGATGAAATTAATGATGGTTTAGTACTTATATTAGTGGATTAATGTTGTATTGTTGGTAGAAAATCAAAGGAGGTACTTGGAGCAAAAGTGATCATTTTACCCTTGCCTTGTCCGATCACTTTTGTGCAAAATTTTGAGATTCTAATGGCTTGATTATGTTGTTTACATGTTATATTAGTTGTGTAAAAAGTTTCATTAAAAAATAACTTGATTTGGTCACCCAAATGTTGGATTTACGACAGCTTAGCAATCTGGAAATTTATCTCGTATTCACCCAAGCAGTGTATTTGTTTCGGCTATATCTTTTTACTCCGATGTTGGAATCGAGTTCCGTTTGTGGCACTGAAAACTAGACATTCCCATATTTATAACGGTATAAAATGCACATTTTGGTTCTATTTGAGTGAGCCAAACCATTCATTTGAAATCCACTGTCCTGTTTCGTTGCTTCCGGGAAAGCAGCACACGAGTTGCAAATTGATGCTCACGAATGAGCTGTTTATGGACAGATTTTGAAAATGGTTTCTTCTGAGAAAATATAGCCTTATGAGTCTATTTTCTAACACCAGTAACCACGTTCAATTCTAAGTTGAATTGAGTGATTTATAATCAAAATTCAAAACTGACTTTGTGAACGAAAACAGTGTTTTGGACATATTTGAAACTAACTAAGGTTTGGGACTTGTTATCCAAAGCTTCTTATTGTAAATCATCTATCGAATGTACCTTGAATATATTTTGGACATTTTCTACTGGAATGAACCATGTTGGAGATGTTCCTTGACCAAGTGTTTGGAAACGGCAAAACGGAAGTTCAAAGGCAGCTTAGCCTTAGAATTTCTTGTTATTTCAACGGTTTTGTTGACCCACTTTCTGTGCTTATTTCTCCATGAAATTTGGTAGAGGAACAACCCTTATATGGTAGTATTACACTGCTAATTTTGGTGTTATTTCGAGGCCATTTTATTTCTCAACTAAACTTCCAAAGTTCGTGACTTGATTTTGGAAAACCTTGTTTAACAAGAAAATTTGGGTAACTTTGAGCTACCATATCCTGGTGCTCGAAACTTCAATTCTCATTCTGCTTGTTTTGTTTTATACCTGGATTACAACTCTAATAGAGTTCCATATTTCAAAGGCTAGTTCAAATTGAGTGAATTTTACCAAATTTTCAAAGTTGGCCAAAAACCAACCCCGAAAGCTGTCTTCATGTTCAAAACAGCAACTTTGAGCCAATTTTTGAATACTTTCTATCTGGAATCATGAGAAAGTGTATTCCATGAACTTTTAGTACTTTGGAAGAGGTTTCCAACGGTACCAAATTTTCCAATTTTTGACTTGTAAAGTATGAGATACGATTTTTCTAATGTATCGTATTAAAACTTAAATTTTCTGAATATCAAGGAAATGGAGTTTTTCGAGTACTCCTTATTCCTTCGATATTACTTGAACGTTTTATACTTGATTTCCAAGATGGAAACTAAATCTCTCTTATACTTTGAAACCCCACTTGAGAGCCTTGATTTAGGATAAATAAGACTCGTTTCACGAGACTTTCTAAGATTGTACTATGGTACGATCTTCTTTAATAGTAGGGGTTTGTAAATGATAGTCTATTGTTAATTGCTCAGGCACACAAGAGAATCTTCAAGAGGATCCCACAGTGACTGCCTAAAGCTCCGAGGGACATTTCTTCCCCATTTCTTATATTGGTGAGTGTCAAGTGTGTGTATTATGTGATATATCTGCAAAGTGATAAGTGTTATATAAATTGAGATTTTGAAACCTTTGAGTCGAGTGTGTACTTTATCGCACTTGTCCTCATATAAACGAAGTGAACTTGAGTTCGTGAAGTGAAGTGCTTACTTGTTTAAGTAACTTGTGAAGTGAATATATGTGAAGTGTTTAAGTGATTATTTATGCTGTGATTGCATAAGTCGTTGGAATGAACCTCCTCGATACAAAAGTGTTAAAGTGGGGGATGCCCAAACTCTCTTAATGGCTAGTCTTGGACTCGAGCCAGCATGGGATTGGTCGAGCTCCTCAGTGAACCATGAGATTTCATAAGCTTGACCTATTGAGAGGTCTTGCTTGGCATACTCGCTGAAGTATCGCCTCATAAATGTATTGCGGGCTCGGTGTGGTATGTAAGGTTGAGAAGAGGAAATGTAAGTGATGTTTCTACGGATTAAACCTACCCGGTTGACGAAGTGTCAACGCGTGGAGGTTCGTGATCGTGCAAGTGGAAAATAGCTCCTGAGAGCTCTCATATTCTTGAATTGTTTCTATTTACTTTTCAGTAAAGTGCTCTTTATTGAATAGTTATTGTTTTAAATTGATTAATGTGGGAGTGTTACTTGAACTACATGCTTGCATGTGTGTTCTTAGCCTCACGAGCGTTTTGCTCACCCTGTAGATTTGTTTTTCTTAATAGGTTTTGGGCTTGGAATGAGATTCGAAGGAATTTCTCTTTTGTGTACTCTTGAAATGGGGTTCCAACTCTTTTGCTAGACTCTTGGATATTGTATATTTTGCGCTGTATTATGGGAAATCCGATGTAAGGATTGGATGATTGTTATATTTCGTTAAACTTGAATATTTCCGCACTAATTGTATTTATTTTTTCCGATTGTTGATTCCTAGTACCGCTATAAGTTTGAGTGCATATCATATTCACTTAATTTTGTGAACAAGTTTTGCCTAAAAAATTTAGTATCATTTAATTAATTCAGTTCAATTTTTTATTATCATGTTCACTATTGAAATGAGGGTTTTTGCCACTTAATCTCATTTAAAAGGAAGGCAGAAAGAGAGAAAAAGAAAAAGAAAAGACAAGCCAAGAAAGAAAGAAGAAATTTCTGCAAAATTTTTCCAGGAGAAAGGCTGACTTTTCAGCCCCTTTCGGCCCAATTCTCTCCATTGATACAGCTTCGCTTGAGGAGCTTTCAATTTCTCCACAATCTACGAACTTAGTAGAGCAAGTTTCATTTAGAAATCGTTTGCAAAAGATGTCCCGAAGCCCTTTGAATTTGGCCTCCAATTTGCTGCTATGATTTCCCTGGCGCAAGTCTGAAGCTTCATCAACCTGCTTCCATTCACGTTTTTCTGATTTCAGTCTGGTCATAAAGCTTCATCAGGTATTTCCCCAACTTCTCCTTGTTTGATTCGACATTAATGCAAGATATTTTGAGCGTGTTTATGGAGGTAAATGTTCAAGAAACTTAGATCCATATATTTTCATGATTATTTAGTTTTTTGGACCTTATTTGAAGTTTAGGTAATTATATAATGCTACGAGCTTAGTGTATGTGGAAACTCAGTTTGAAAAATGGGGTTCCGGCCATGTTTGGCAAGAATTTTTAGGTTTAGTTTATTAAGATGATGTTGGGCTGATCTTTTCCTTTTAACAAAAATAATCCGGTTATTCATTGGGTGGGAGTGCTTTGGCTAAAAAAAGCCAAAACCAAATAAAAAAGAGGAAAATGGCCCAACGTGGGTAAATCAGAAATAGATTTTACAATTAGAACCCTAGTCTTTTGAATAATTTTATTGTATCTCTAAAAATTAAATTTCTTTCAATTAAGTCTTTAATTTAATTACATTTTGGTCCCTAAATTTTATTTTTCTTTGATTTTACCCCTAATTTTTGTAAAATTTATAATTTGATCTTAAAAACTTCTTAATTTTTGTAATTAGATCCCTGATCTTTATTATTTTTTAACTACAATTGTTCATCTCATTTAATTGTTAATCATGCTTTATTGAAATGCATTTAATTAGTAATTTTTAGGGATTTAATGTTTATTCAAGTTTCTTTGAAATAAATAAAGTGAATTTGCTATATGTTTACATTTTCTTTCAAATTGTTAATTAAATTGGTGCCTTGATTATTTTGTTAGTTTTGGAGTATAAATAGGGCAAGTTCTACCTCATTTAACCACTACTTCAAGGGAGACACTTTCTATTATTATTTTAAGTTTTTCTATGTGTTCCTATGTCTTTCTTATGTATGATTGCATGTCTTAAGTGCTTTTTCTTTTATTCACTCATTTTTATTCATTTTAAGTTTTCATTTATTTTATTTAATTTTTGATAATTATTTGAAAGGTATTTAAATGTCAAATTGCAATAGATAGGTGCCCAATAAATGTATTTAGTTAGGCAATGTAATAGATAGATATTAATTTTTGTCAAAAATATAATTAGTTAGATAAATGTTATAGATAGATTTATTATTTTCAAAATTTTCCTTCTAGAGGCCTGTTTGGAAGCCAGGTTTTTAAGCAAGTTTTTTACCTACTAGTTTTTTAACAACTTTTACTACATGATCCCAAAAAACTTCTCAAAATTTTTTACCTACACACTTCAAAATACCCAAAACACAAAAAAAAAAAAAAAATTCCCTTCCCTTTTTTTTCTTCTTCCTCCCCCATCCCAACCCACCACCACCTCCGTCGCCGACCACCACGTCCGGCGCGGCCTCCACGTTTCCTTTTTTTTTTTTTTTGCCTTTCTACCTCTCCACGCCATCTTCCCTTGCCATCCGCTCCCTTCACCGGCAGTTTGTACCCTTTTTTTTAAATTGATGGGTGCTTGAAGACGTGGCACACTGCAGATCATCGGCTTATTCGGACGTACATGGGACATGTCAATGCCAGGAGATTCGTCGGGTTATCCGTTTGAAGGGGCGGCGGCCTGCTTAGCTGTGGCTCCAAGGACAATCAAGTTGTTGTCTACGATAAGAGATGGGGCTCGTCTATTTGGGTCAAGAGATTCGAGCCATCCTCTGCTGGAGCCCCGGCTCCAGGTTGAGCTGAATATTCCGGGTGGGAATATTGCGAGCCTATAGGTGCAGGGTTTCTGAGCAGCGTATGTTGGAGGCAAATGGGAGAAGACCAATGCACACTCGTTGCCGGCGGCTCAAACGGGATCCTGCAAGTTTTAGCGGTAGCAGAAAAAGAATGAGCCAATAGTAAGGTGATCCTTCTTATAGAGTAAGGAGAGGGGAAGGCTGAAAATTGCAACAAAAAAAAAAAAGTTGACTGGCTTGTGGAGGAGTTGCGCCTTGACTGCCGGGCGAAGGAAGAGGGAGGGGAAGGGCAAAGGGGAGAAGAAGGGGAAAGGGAGGAGAGGGTGGCGGGAGGTGGCATTGGAGGAGGTGCTGGTGGAGGAGCCGATGGTGGTGCTGGAGTTGGAGGAGGTGCAGGTAGTGGTGGTAGTGCTGGTGGTGGCGTTGGAGGAGATGCTGGTGGAGGAGCAGGTGGTGGTGTAGGAGGTGGGGCTGGTGGTGGAGTTGGGGGTGGAGCAGGCGGGAGAGTAGGAGGAGGGGGTGATAGGAGGCTGCGTTGCGTTGTTGCTGCGTCTGCGTTGTTGCTGGGATGAAGAAGAAGAAAAAGATAGGAAAGAAAAGAAAAAGGAAAGAAAGAAAAAGAAAAAGAAAGAGAAAGAAAAAAAAAAGAAAAGGAAAAAAGTTTTTCCACCTTACAAAAATTTCTACAAAAAAGTTTTTCACCTTACAATTTTACAAAATTTTTTCAAAAACTTCTACAGTGTACTACAGTAAAGTTTTAGACAAACTCTCAAAAAACTCAGGTTCCAAACAGGCCCTAGTTAGAACCCCCAATATAATAGTTAGTTTTTATTTGCTTGCATGCTTGTGTGCTTATGTGTTTTATTCGCTTTCTTTAGGATTTTTACATCTAAATATTATACTTATGTGTTATGTGCTCTATATGTTTTATGTGTTTATTGTTTTATTTATGTTTTATTTATTTATTTATTTGTTTATAATAAATGTACGACGTCACCACACTAGTCCAATGTTAGTTGTGGTATTTCTCTCTGATTTCTCACTAGTCCAATGCTAATGAGGAATTGTAGAAATGGTTAGTCCAATGCTAGACCCTTTAAGCAGTTTTCGCGTTAGATTCATACCTTGTGTGACATTTATTGCATCTCATGCATTTTTTCCTACTTTTAGATTATTTTCAATTGCATGACATTTTCCCCCACTATTATTCCCTTACCCTCTATATGTTTGGACCATATTATTTATAATTACATTTCATTTTAGGAATTAGAAGTAGGTTAGTCCATTTGCTTAACTAGGTTAGAAGAGTCACTCTTCGAATATGGGAAATGGACGAGTATGATTTTTTAGTCTTAACATGCTATTATCCCTCTATAAGAAGAAAAATTGAGTAATGAATCTTAGGCCCCCTCCCTCGCGTACCCGTTATGTTGTATTTCCCTCTGTTAAGTCATGTATATTTTTTATATATTATAATTTCCTTTTTTTCGAGTCACATTTTTGCATTTTTCATGACCTTTTCAAAAAATCATTCTTGGGCATCACAATTAATGTGATTGGCATCTCTTTTCTTTTGAAATTTGAGCATAGCAAATGTTCCCAAAAACCTTCAAGTGTTTCACCGATGGCTTCCTTCCACTCTATGTTTCAATTGGAGCTCGATTCCACATGGCCTTTGTAGGGTTTTGATTGAGCAAATATATAGCTATATAAATGGCTTCAATCCAAAATTTCTTTGGCAAACCTTTGTCATGTAACATAGATTTTGCCATCTCCATCACAGTTTGATTCTTTTTCCAAGACTCCTTTTTGTTGTGGTATATAGCCAATGGTCAGCTGCCTTTCCAAACTTTCATCTTCACAAAATTCTTGAAATGTATTTGAGGTGTACTCCTTACCATGATCACTCCTCAATTTTTTGATGTAATAGCCACTTTATTTTTCAACAAGACTTTTGAACTTTTTAAAAATTGAAAACACCTTGGATTTTTCTTTCATGAAATAGACCTAAGTTATTCTTGAAAATCATCAATGAAAAGGATGAAATACTTGTTGTTTGCCAAGTGTACAACCTTCACAAACGTTATGTTTCTCCTCAATTCTTGATAAGCCATATGCCATCCCTCTTTGTTGAAGCATTTTGAGCCTATGAAAATTCAAATGGCCAAATCTCTTGTGACACAACCATAAATCTTCATTGACATGTGCTTTCAAGACTTGATTTCCATTATAATTGAATTTGATTGGAAAACTTTAGCTGGCTTGCATTAAGATTTTCATCACAAGCTGTCTACTACCCTTTTTGTCATAGATGCAGCACTCATAATCATCAAAGTTAAGTGCATATTTATGCTCAAGAAGCTGTCCAAGACTCAATAAATTTTGGCCTAAATCAAGAACAAATAAAACATCACGAATGAACTTCATACCTTGCTTGGTTTGGACATCAATTGTTCCCAATCCTTTTGCTTGAACTATGACTTCATTTCCCATCTTCACTTCAATCTTTATAGATTTATCCAAGTCAATAAAAATGAATTTATCTCTTATCATATGATTGCTACAACAGCTGTCAATGTACCACATATTGTTCTTGACTTTAGTGGCCATGTGAAAAGCATAGAATAATTTTCCTTCTCCTTACTTGTCTTCTGAAAATTGTGCATGATGATTGGTTTTGAATCTGCAATCCTTCTCAATATAGCCAAATCTCTTGCAATAGTAGCACTTTGGCTTGTCTTTGTGCCAATAATCTTTCTCAAGGTGATTGTTTTGCCAAAATAACTGCAAGGTTGTGAATTTTCAGCATTAAGTCCTCTTTGAAGGTCGTTCCTTCCTCTTCCTCTTGAATTTCTGCCTCTGCCTCTTCCATGGCCATATCTACTACCTCTTTGGTAACTACAAGATGGTTCTCGTTCATTGATTTTGGGATTGAAATTCAGCTTTGATTGGAATGCACTTTCAATAGATTTTTCAGCATGTCTAGCCAACCTTCTCTCATGAGCTTTCAAGGATCCCATCAACTATTGAACACTCATTGAGGAAATATCTTTTGTCTCCTCAATTATGGGCACCATTGGATCAAATTTTGGTGGCAAACTAACAAGAATCTTTTCAACAATTCTGCTTCACTAATTTTTCACCAAAGGCTTTCATTTCATTTACAATTGTGGTGACTTTTGTGTAGTAATTTTGAATACTTTCATCATCACTCACCTTCAAATTTTCAAGATCTCTTCTAAGATTTGAAGAGTAACATTCTTTATCTTAAGATTCCCCTGGAACTCCATTTGTAGAATCTTCCATATTTCCTTGGCATGATCGACTCTTATAATTCTTGATAAAAAAATATCTGGACTCACACCTTACTGGATGTGTGAAAGAGCCTTTGCATCCTTCTTCCTATGCTCCTTAAGTGCCTTTAATTCTTGATTGGTGAGACCTTCTTCATTTTTCGGTTCTCTATAACCATTCTCTACATATTTCCACAAATATTGTGATCTAAAAATTATTTTCATTTTGACGAACCAATGATCATCGTGCTCACTGAAGAATATGGGAATTGGAAGACCATCACTAGTATGATTGGCCATCTTGTGTAGTTGGAAATCTCTCAAATATTTTTGATTTTAGGGTATGAACTAAAGTCATGAAACTTTAGCTCTGATACCAATTTTGTTGGATATTAGGCCAATAATTGAGAATATTTGAAGACAAAGGTAACTTCAATTATTTCTTTCTTTTATTTCCTTTTACTCATACTGTTTTGGAGCTTACAAGGTCAATTTATAGTTGTAAATGATCATTCTAGATACTTAGGAAAGATTTCCAGCCACACTTACCAACAACCTTCCTAATTTCAAACCTTCTAGATACATAGAGAACATTCCAGCTATCTCATTTACCAAATAATTAATCAAACTTCCCAATTAATTGATTTAGCACATTATTTAACACTACTAAATCTCTCTACCATTGTATATAAATGTACTTTGCTTTATGCTCTTAGAAAAGAAATATAGAATGACTTTATAAACTTGATATATAACATATTGTGATTGCAATAGTGAATGTGATATGGCTAACTTGTTGTTCATGGGCCAAACTCTACATATCAAAATAAATTGAAAATTGACAGTTGAAATGGGGCTTAGGATTGTTTGTAAAGCTAGATTGCTTATTATCTCTTAGTTTTTAAGATAAAAAGCCATAATGACTTTTGGAGGAAAAAACAAAAAAGAAACCTCAAACTATGAGAGAAAAGAAGGAAAGGAAAAAAGAAGAAAAGATTTTTTTTTTGTTGCTTGGAAATTTAGAAAAAAAAAAAGAAATATATAAAATGGACTCACATATAAATTGGATTGTATGCTGTAGTATTTTGAGGCCTAAGGGCACTGTCTCAGTTTTCAAAAACACACCAAGCATCTTTCCATTTCTTCTCAAGTTTGGAGAAAAGATTTTATTTATTTTTAACTGCAGCACTCTTTTTCCTCCAAATAAGCCCAAATTTGGTTCATTCTTATTTGGAAAATCTTCCAAATAATGAAAAGTCCAAATTTCTCGCATCTTTCTTTCTTTTCTTTTTAGATCTCTTACTCCTAATTGACCTATAGTAGTTTTTCCAATACGTATGGATGTTTATCCTTGTCCAGTCAATATCGACTCCATATATATTTACTCTTTCCCATCTTGCTTGGTTGCTTGTTAAACCAATCAACTGAATAATAATTGGCGGGTGTTTCAAACCAAAAATAATTATATGGCGAAAAGTATAAGATTCAAATAGTGTAATAGCTATATTAAGACATTTTACACTTTTCTAAAAGCTCGCAACAACTTGGCATCATTTTTATTTTTATTTTTTTAAAGTACCCTTTTCTTTTTATATGCATTCCGAGTTCTTGGTCTGAAAGGACCTTGGTGTTTTCCCCTCTTTTATATTTATATATTTTTTTTACTATATGACACTTGTAGAATTTTCAAGTTCCATATAGTAGATGCATGTTCTTATGCCTATTCTTTTTCTTTCTACTCATTTAGGTAATTAAATGGGTAATTTTATTGCTATTTTTTTAAGTCATGAAGTCTACCAATCATGCATGCATGTTATTTAGTTATTATAAAAAATTATGTAAGCTTTTATTATTTGTGTATTTAATTCCCCTTGAATGACAGTTTTCCCAAAATTGAAAATTTCCCCTTGAATGACATTTTTTTCCCAAAATTGAACATTAGTACTATGATCTTACATTTGAATTTTTTTTAATAATTGTAGACATTCAAAAATGTTTCAAGTACGGAGATTATTGTACTTGGTCATCAATGAAATCTAAAAGGATTTACCACATAAAGTTTTGGACTCCGCATATAAGTTCTACAAAGTGGAATGCCTCTCTTTTATAAATTGAGATTCAAGAAAATAGGTTAAAGAAGAATTAAAGTTTGCTACTACATTGAGAAAAAGGAAATTAGAATTCATGTACAATCATAGCCGGAGACGTGGATATGAAGGGTAATTTTCTCTGTCTCTTATCCTCATCCAGTTGCATTAAAGTTTGTTTTTTCCTTTTAA